ACTTGTAAAGTTTTGTGACTTTATCTTGGTAACTCCTGCTACTGTAGGTGTCTCCAGCATCGCATATTTCTATGATGACACATGCAGACAAACAGAGAGATTCACAAGGTAAAAATAATACCAGCTGCCCTGTCACAGCTGCTAAATATTAACCAGAGACGGCTGCACTCACTGATTTGAAAAAGCGAGCGACAACAATGACAGAAATGCTAATTTTGTGTCCTGACAACACCAAAGCCAGAGGCACTTGTGTCCCTCCACTGATGAATTGAACAGATAGATCTGCTAAATGTCTGACTGGGTGTAATTTTGGAGGGGCATGTGTCCACGGAAAGAAAAGCGATCCGGGTAATGGTGAAAAATAACTGTCTTCTGAAGCCTGAAGAAAAGAAACTAAAGTGAAGATTTTAAGATAGCTTAAAGTGACTGAGTAACTGCTGAGTTAATACTTTTGGCAATAAACATTTAGGTTGATTACACTACTTTGACTTCATCAGAAAGTGACCTTTGAAGACACTAAATAAAACCGGTTACCGTGATGGAGTTAAAACAACACCGAAGTGGTATATTGAGTTAGGACTGATTGGCTTAAAACCATTCATGCTCCACTCTTTTTCATCTTTAGTGCCGGAAATCACTGCTTTCCTGTTGTCTGAATGGCCTTAAACATTTACTTTCCTTCTGCACTGATAGGATTCCTTTGTTTGTTGCTGTCTTTTCCCATGGGAATGAGAGTAGATGTGGAGCTCAATGCTAAGTGAGAACTGCCCTGCATTCCCATGTACTGTATAACAACAGGAGACACCCGATTACCTTATGAGATGGTGTTTATTATGACCATGAACCACAGCAATGAAATCTTGGCAAGGTTATGAAAGAACAAAATAGTCCTCTGTCAGTGAGAAAAAAGCAGGGGAGCCAGACATTTAGAAATCAGCACCAAAATAAGAGGTTCTGTTTTGAGAGAATTTTACGGTTTAAGGTCAACTGGCTGAAGAGGGGCTTGTTGTGGTGCATGTAAATGATCAAAACTCTCCTCAGGACGTGGCGGGTCATAATGTGCTTCCTTCCTAAATCTTCTATTTGTTTGGGTTTGGCTGTTGTTTTGGTGAATGAAGAGCGGAAGCCCGGAGCAGGTGAGGTTAAACTACTGTAATCCTGCTGGCTGTCGGTTTGCTGGGAGGGTGGGGTTAAGGTGTTAGATGGACACTGGTTGGACTGGCTGTTTATCATAAACACAGCCTAGCCCAGAGAGGTCCATCTGCTTTGATTTTATTTAGTGATTCCCCCCAGGGGCCCTGAGCTGGAGCGAGAATAACAATACTTGAGCCCATCTGTTCCCGTAGAACCAGCCCCGGCTAAATTACCACACGCTACGAGCGGCTGGCATATGCTGTGGCATAAAGCTACAAGAGGGCATTGTGCGCCAGCTGTTCTGTTGACAAATACTTATCTGGCACTTCTGAAGTCAGCTTGCTAAGCTGGTTTCAAGTTTGACTAAAAACTAAACAGGGTAAGGTGTGGAATAGGGTTCCTGTGGGGGAGGTGCATGTATAATACATGCTGATTTATCTCGGGGTATCGTTTTGTCAGAGATTGTCTGGGGAATTGGGTCACTGGATGTAGACTTAATCTGAACATATAGGGCAGAAAGAAGAATAAAGCCAAACAAGTGGACAAAACAGACTATAAGTAATCTTTGTCATCCTCCTCTAAGCATAACAGGCTGTAATCATATTGCTGTTATATGTTTATAAGTCAGGGGATGATCACTGCTTCAAAGACCTAAATTGGGCTTGATCATAGTAATCCTGTAAGTAGAGAACTGGATCTTTCTAGGGACAGATAACACACAATTCAGACACTGAAAAATACACTACAGCTGTTTTATTAGCACCTGTAGCCTTTAAAAAAAATCAATAATAATATATTTTATAGCACACATATGTCTGTTGATAATAACCTGAGATCTTTATTTTAAGGACATGGGATGTCACCTACAGACACTAAAATGTGAAACTTTACAGGTTTGTGCTACACTAACCATGTGTGGTCAGTGCACTCAGTAGGAGTCACCTTAACCCTGTGAGTACGCTGCTTTCTTAGTTCAGTAGATATGACCAAAGATCCAGTTGGGAACACTGTTTTGGGACATTATTTTTGCTATCATTACTTTACAGTCTCTTTTGGTGAATGCCTCCATTCTGATCTGACTTTTTACTGCAGCAGATCCCAATGCAAAATCTACACAAAAAAAGGTTGTTTTTGTTTTCAATTCCCAGGTTTAAAGTCTCAGGTCTGACCACACATGACAGTTTTGATACTGAAATCACCTCGATTACACTTCAACATCACTGCTGCAAGAGGAGACAGTAAAACTCAGCATCCCTCGGTTACTCTTTAACTTAAAGCAAAACATTGCACACAGACGTAGATTCTTCATTTAGTTGGTAAGTTACATTACTAGTTTTCTATCTGCTGCCTATTTCTAATGTCTCATTGGTGTCTTATTACACAAGTGAAATAACTGTGCTGTCAATTTCCACCCGCTAAAAAATATATATCTGATCCTATGCTCCTTGGCGAATAAAAAAAACAAAACATGGAAATACCCAACCACACCCAACACCAAAGCATCTCAAATGTACTCACAAGATGCCACGTACCCTTCAAAATGGGCTTTATTTTTGTTAACATTTACAGGAACATCACTGACATTAATTTTCCACCCGTTACATATGTCTACACTGTACAGATGCAACAGAAAAAAAAAAAGAAAGAAAAAAAAAATCAAAATGCCATCCTCTGTTCTGAGACTTCTCTCATCGAGAACAAGGCTCCAGTCAGTGACAAGCTCCAGCAGTGCAGAAAAAGTTCACACAGGAAGGTCCTCAGTCAGAATCCCTGTGACAGTGGAAACGACCACAGAGCAAAATGGAAGTTGTCAGGTGGAAAGTAATTTATAAAACGCCCTTACACATGTACTTTATATTCACAACTAAATCCATGATCAAGCTGTGATTAGGTTTCAGAAAAATATAATGCTGATGCCAACATCTGTACTTTGTTGATTTCATCCAAATTTCCTCGGATATATAAAAAACAACTACTTTATCACTTGATTGGTATGCTTTTCGTATTCTGTAAAACTGGAATATAATGGAATCAGGGATCACGTTTTTCATTTTTTAATTTATTTTTTTTTCTTTAAATACATATATATATGATGCCCCAAGGTTACCAGCCCTGTGCCTCTTCATTTTCCATCCTTTGCCGACTGTTCAATGTGTCACTATTAACATTCAGTAGTTGCTATGAGACAACGTAAACTACAATAACTCACTTCAGTATACAGTGAACAAGGAGTACCCAAACCATACAGTATCATTAACCCTGTTTCGTTTTCTTAAAAAGGGACATATGAGTGTGTAATGTGATTAGAGCATAATAAATAACTATATTTGATCACAATTGTTTTGTTATGTGGTTGCCTGGCTGGAAATATTGCATGTCACACTTTCATGAAAGGCAGCGAGAGTCAATACTTGCTTCTCTTCACCCATAGGAAATCAGAGCCGCCATAATGGGCAGAGAAAAGGCTTTGTAAACATAAAATATAATTTAGATGTACTCATCAACACAATGAGACTTGAAAACACTGCATGTGAAATTCTTCACGTCACACCTTTGAAGAAAACACCCGGACTTTTCCAGTATTTCACCTCATTGACCCTATGAATGCACGGAGTGCTCCACCAACCAGCTTTACAACAGGAGCCATTGTGCAAGCCTCCCTTCATGCATTTATCTGGCATCTACTCTGCATTAGCAATGCAGACCATTCTTTACAGCTACAGCGGAGGAGCAAATTTGTATTCTGTAGCACAAAACTCTGATGTCTCCCAACCAACAAATTAGCACTCACTGTGACTTCCAATGGGAGGAAGGGGGAAAAAAAAAGAGAAGCAAAACCTAAATGTTTCCTGATAGGTCCACTTGGGGATGGAGTAAAAGTGCAGCATTGGTTGAGCAAGTATGCGGTAAAACATGAGACTTTTACAATGGCTACGTCTGTTTCTGCAAAACATATACTGTAGAGACATTTACACAGTGTGATGAGGAAATATGCAAACCGGTTCACGAAGAGCAGAATAGTCTGGTCTTAATGCAACTGCACAGTAGGTTGACATCTATACTGTTGATGTTACTACCTGGAGAAATCTATGCTACTAAGAGATTTTACACAAGTTTTTACAACAGTACACACAGTTTGGATGAGGATTTGCGCACTGCATTGCTTCCTTAATGTGCGTTATGGAAAGCTCCCATCTTTAACAGTGATTAAGAATAGCAGGACTCCTCTTTTCTTAAGGTAAATGAGGTGAGCAGGGTCCTCCCACCAGCTCATCTTGTTTTTGTTGCGCATGTTTTGTCAGCCACTGCAACGCAACATGCCCTCCCGCCCATCTTCTCCTTCCTCCCCGACCAGGGAGTGAATCCTCATAATGCCTACCTTTGCTTCATCATTCGCCACCAATGCTCAGCTGTGAGACACAGGGAAGCTACATAGGACTACATGAAGAACACAACACTTCAACTAATGCACAGTGCAAATAGGCGTCCCCCCCTCCCTTTTCCATCTCTCCTACCTCCAGAAACGGGTAGGCATTGAGGAGAGGTGGGGTGTAGAGGGTTAAATCTGCCCCTGCTGACAGGCAGCTGTTCTACTTTTAGTTTATTTTTCATTTTTGGTCTTTCTGGAGCTCTCCTGCCCTGGGGGAGGGGGAGGTGGCGTGGCTGAGGGGCAGGGGTGGAAGGACAGGGGTTTGAGGGGGGGGATTCTACTTGTACAGGCTCATGGTCGGGCTCTGGTACATGCACATGTAGGCATCGCACAGCAGGCGTCGGGCCTGGCCCTGGATGCTCTTGGGATCAAGGGTGTGCAGCTCCTCTGGTGTCATTTTCAGGTAGGCTTCCACCTCCGGACAGGGAGACACCTGCGGGATGTTGAATCCATTCTGCCCTCCTGCAAAGCCACATACAAGGTCATTAACAACAACATAATGGGCATTGCAGAGCCGGGTACAACTTAATGCAGTCACTGTATGATTTTTTTAAAAAGGTGGATCAACAATTTTTGTCAGTTTTCTGACAACACACTAACCTTGCAAGGAAAAATGCCAAGTAACAACTGCAGTTCTCAGATTTTCTCTTCCATGACAGTAGAAAACTTAACTCTGTTCTCAAACAGTCAACTGAATAAATGTGAATTAATTCTGTGGCTACCATGTTTGATGTCACCGGAAGACCAGTCTCACAATATTTCAAAGTCAATGCAGTTCAAACAAAACTTCCCAAGTTTATAACTTCATTTCAACAGTCAGTTTGATCACAAACACAACATCAAAAGGTCATGTCGCCCACCGTCACGGTCAGCCATGCTGTCGAAGAAGAGCCAGGCGGAATCTGCGCTGCCGTACTTGACGAAGGCCACGTAGTGACTGGTTTCGATGCACAGCACGGCAAACAGCTCCATCCTCTGGCGGGGAAAACTGCCCTGACGCCCCGTACCGTCTTGTAGCTCCTTGGGGACAGACAGTTTGCCGTGTCGATGGGATTTTCTCCTCGGGTGGAGGTGAACCTAAATCAGACACAAACCATCGCACACCATTTGATACCGAGGGCTGTTAAGGCCAAACAAAAAATGCTAAACGGATTTTTAATGAAACATACGGACCAGAGATGAGAGGAAATAAAAACCTTTGAGGATTTGTACCGCTGGACAGCAATATACTTACACTTCTGATATTATTTGAAAAAATGAAGTGACTGTGAAGACACGTGTTACAATCTGCTGTAGAAGTCAGTCCTCTGCAGCTGAACTCCTACACCGAGATTGTGTGATTCCTTTGGATTTGGCGCCACCAAATGGATGATCTCAACACAGACTTTACAACTTGTTTATTTGCTGAACTGATGATGCAATGATGCCCTCTGTTGTTTACCTGTGTATTGCACTTTTCACAGAACTGCTTAATCTTGCCAGCAGTGATATCTCCGTCCTCATAACAGTCTCGGCACTCGTAGAGAGCCAGGCCTCCGCAGATACGACATTCTCTTGGAGCTGGATGAATAAAACACAAGCCTTTATCACTGCTGACACACTGTACAGAAGCGAAGTTCTTTAAAAAAAAGTTAAGAGCGGGTTTGAAAGCAAGAAAAATTGGCTCCTTCATCTCAGCTGAGCGGCAGTGACAACTCAGTGGGATTTCATTAACAAATGGCACACGGCTCTGACTCACCATTGATCGACACATCACACTTGCAGCAAAAAAAATAAAAAATTAACTACAACTCACTGTCTTCAAGAAGGTCTGTGATGTCCAACTCCAAGGAGGGGAAAATCTTGTTGAACATTTTGAAGTCCTTGCCGAAGCGGGGCATCTGGATAATAAGGCAGGAGGGAGCCTGTGAGAGTCAGGAAAAGCAGAGGAAGAGAAAACGTATGTAGTCGTCAACAAAGCAGTATCAGTAAAGCTCAGTGTACACAGGAACTCAAAAAAAACTGAGACCGTACTGTTACAGGCCTATTTATAGAACAGTAAGCAGACAATATATTTAAAGGTATAAAAATGAGGACATGAAACATAAAATAAATTGAACATTGTCTCTTCCTAGGAACATGAAACTGTATGCTGTGCACTGTGTCTTGTGTAAACTGGGTGTTTGATCAGCAAATGGTACAATAACTAACATCCCGACTGTACAGCATATAGCTTTATAAATACTACACATGGGAATATTGTATTGATGTTATTTGTAGTGATAAACAATGAGCATCCAGCACACACTAAAGAGACACTCTTGAACAGTGTATCTGTCAGATACCGTAAATTAGGAGGTGCACAATTCAGGTACTTTTAAACAATATGCAAAATAAGGATTAACCCGACAACATAACCTGAACACGGCAATATCGGACATTCACTACACAGTTGTCATGGCCAAAAGAATTCACAATAAAAATACTATCAGAATGTCTCCAACAAATATGAAAAAAATAAATAACAATGCTTAATAATAATCGGTCAAATTCACCTTTGATTTTGTTTATTGTGTCTCTTTTTTTGGCAAATGAATGATACTCAAAAGTCCCCACTGTACTGTATATGAGATAGTTACTGGTGCTGGATTATTTACAACATGTGTGTATTATTAACATGATATCAACAACTTTATTTTATTTTATTTTTTTAAACGTCAGGGTAAAGCCTCTAAACCTGAATATAAGAAACAGCAGCATAACGTATGAAAGGTTTTGTAACATTTCCTAATTTTCTTAAAGGAAAAAAAAATGTATATATATTTTTTAATTTATTATTTTTGTACTAAAACATGAGAGAAACATTTCCAAAAATTAAGGAAATTTAATTGAGCAATATTGTGGGAAAAGACTTGGGTGTTGGCTAAATTTAGCGTGGGACTGTTTACTTTACCGATTACGTTTGGTTCAACAATGTATGTGACGTGGTCGTCTATGTGCTGTGAACGACTAGATGAGCATCTATCAAACTATTTAACTCAAGCTAAGCTGTTTACAGAGATTTCAAACTCCAAAACAGAAAAAAAAAAAAAACTCACCTCTGCAAACTTCAGGTCGCTGTTGATAAAAGACCATTCCAGGAGCTGCTGGATGGTGGGAACTCCAACTTTGTCTTTCTTGTCCATGAAGATCTGGTAAAAGTAACAGTCCTGGACCTTCTGACCTGCTGACCTGAAAAACATCAGCAGTCTTTATTTACCTTCTACTATTATACTCACATGTTTCTTTCTCATCGACAAACAGAACAGGACAGCTGTAATCTTGCTACTTAGAACTCAAATCCTAAGATATTAAAAGGTCTTGATGTGGTACTCATGAGTGGTATTAATCTTCCTGAATAATTTCATACCAAATAGTTCCTTTTGTACTTACGCTAATTGAGTAATGTTAATTCATCAGTTTATACCGGTGGCATTCCTGAGATGTTTGCAGCCATCTATCAAAAAGGTAAACATTGTTCCCCGCTCACAATTTATGATTTATGAGCAAATATTCATGCTCGTCAAGGATCGACACCATTTTTCAGCATATGTTTCAATATCTTGAGGAATTTTTTGACGCAGACTATATAAGACTTTCAGAGCTTTTCATGCAGCTAGAAATAAGCTAATTGGGAATTAATTTTCCTTTAAAAGCAGTTTGAGAAACAGACCGCTGAACATGAGATTTGACAGCTTAACATATAAAACACAAATGTTCTGCTTCATGTCTTTATAAACTGTAAAGACAGCTTCAATGCTGAAGTATTCCTTCCATGGTAGGTACATGTTTCATATTAGTCACATTATATGTTTTCCAACGCTGTAAGTCTGTAATGTGTAACAGTAGACAGGAACAATGATCTACAGCTCTCTAAGCCATTAACTATACTCATTTGAAATGCAAAAATTCTTAAACATGGCTATAGCGTGAGTTTTCCTACTGTAACCAAAATAACTCCTACAGTTAAACCAAGCTGCCCACACTGTCCGTCATTCAATCTGCAGCGTGATTACCGCAGCACAAGTGAAACTGTGCGTCTGCTTTATATCTACATATTACAGATTTAGACTGGTGTAACTCTGTGGTTGAGCAGTGATGTGTTTCAAACTACATTTGCAAAGTCTGGCAATGCACTGAAAGTAAAGGACATGCCGCATCATACACACTGTTGCCCACAAAGTTGGAATAAAGAATTTTTTACCTCTTCTCATGAAATGATGGGATTTATTCTCAAAACTTTATTGATATCACAATATACATACAATACGTATCACAGTAAAAATTAAACCACAGTTAACTTTTGCAAACTGTGTATTCAGGCTTAAACAACATTGGGGGTTTTGAACAATATGACTAAGGGTTTTGTTTCAGTTTTGGTTATATCACAGGAAACACCTAGTCGAGGGGATTTCATGCATAAGAATGTCCAATATTACTCTGTCAAATGTCACTAATATTGGCCACCAGCCACACAGTGAGCAGGACATCCCACTCTTCGGGTCACAACCCAAAGTCAGAATTCGTTTCACCTGGTAACTGGGACTCAGTATGTAATCATTGCACCTGATCAAAAGTGATAACTGATGTGTGTAAATAGAACTAAAAAGAGGAATGTGTCTGAAAACAAAAATTACCCCAACTTTATGGACAACAGTGTATAAGAATTGTGAGTGAAAAGTACTACGCTATCTCAGGTTTTTTTTTCTGCTCCAACATCGTTTTAAGATTGTGTGTATCACTCTTTTAGTACCTTACTGTAAATGTAGCCAAAGATCATATTAGATATTTTCAAAGTCAGCCGGCCCTTACCTTAGCTTGAGCAATGGATCCACCCTCAGTATGTGATGGAAAAGGATATTGAGGAACTCTTCAGGATCTGCAGGAAAAAACACACTAAATTTAGATGTGAGGTGTCATTTCTCTGCAAACGCAGCCATAAACTGTTTAGGTTGTGGATGTGTGTGTGTTTGTTATGTTAACACAACATTTTCATTTTGTTTCTTATGACTTCCAACACCATCACATTTTACAGATTGTTTTACTGTTCCATCTTTGATTATTGTCAACTTATTGCAAAATATTGAAAAAACCAATGCACATACAGAAAAGCAGTTGAGACAATCATCAACACAAATGCACAAACTCATGATATTGAGCACAGGGGGAAATCATAAAAGCACTTGAATCCTGACATATAAATAATCTCACTGTCCTACCTTTTTCTTCAGAGGTAAACCCAGACGCTGCTTCTACCTTCTCTAGGATTCTCCTCAGCTTCATCACTTTAGTGGCACAAACGTACCCATGTCTGGAGGACAAAGGAAGTTACAAGCCAGTTCAACAGCTGCATGTGGTTTGTAGAATGTCTTGTATGATGCAATTTGTTTGAATGAATGAAGTAAAAATGCATATTTTCCTGTAATGTTTTCTTTTGTTTAAATGTGTATGCCATTATTTAAAATCCTGGAAAACCTTTACCAATCTAACCTAAAACAGAAGTCTTTGACCTGTTGTAAAAAAAAAAGTAAAAAAAGAGATTCACACTGACCTACAATATGTAACAACACTGAGTTCAAACCTGTAATATGTGTCCATATGAAAAACTAAATATCAATGTATGAATGCTTACATGCGCAGAGGATTGACTATTTCTGTGCGTAGCAGCTCTTGCGTCTCTCTGTAATACTCAACGTCGGTCTTTGATCGTGGTCTCAGCAGAACTGTGTCCAGTACAGAACTGAAGGAGAAAAGACTGCAGAGCAGAATATACAACAAGGGGTTTAAAATTTAAATTAAGCTGTCTATTACCCATTTGACATACAATAAATGATGATTAATCAGTATTACTTGCATAATGTTCTGCTGATATTAAAAAACAGATTAACAAACACATTAATACAATAAACCAACAATATGAAGGACATAATGCAGTTTGTTCAATCACATTTGTATTTAATGTGCAACTGATCAAAAGGCTTTTTTGGAAAGCCCCCAGAATTTCCCTTCTTTTTTTTAAACAGTCAAGGTAAACCCGAGGAACTCCAAAACCTGCCAGTGGGTTTGAAAAGCATGTTATGTATGTAAATTGCCCAAATCACATCATGTATCATAATCAGAAACTGTAAAAAGAAAGAATTATTTGATTTTCAACTTTCCAACTGTCCGTCAACGACTCAGTCTGACATGCTGCTCTGTCGGGAATATGAACATTTATCCCTTTATTCTACATGCATCATTTAAAAACATAAAGAAAAAAATATTTGAAAAATGAAGCATTTGCACCTACCAGACTCTAAAAATAAAATAAAAATTCTACACTCAGCACAGCTCTGAAGCCATTTTTGGCTCAGCTACAGTCACCTGACATAAATACTGGGACTTTTTGGCTAACTTGGCTTAATGTTGGCTATGTTAAAAAAAAAAACAACAACAATTTGACGAGTAAAATATCGAAGGTATGTAGACAGTTTTTTCCAGTATTGGTAACACTGATTCCAGTTTTTACATTGTTGGTAAATCAAAGAAATTCAACTTTCTTTTTTTTCCGATTTATGTCATTCTAATTGTGTTATAATACACAGAAGACATGTTTGAGTCCTCTCTACTTCTAGCTATGGTTGTACTGATTCCATAGAGGAGCTGGACTTCCCATTGCAGTGAAAAATGAGCCCACAGGAAGCAAAAATGCGACACTGCTTGGAGTTTAGAGAGTTAAAGCTAAAACTCCAAACTGTCAAAGCATAGTTAAAGGCAACTCTTGTAGTTTGGGGTGACTGCTTCATTCAAAAGGCAGTGCTGACAGACACAACAGATGTACCACAACACACCGGCCGGCTCACAGCTGGAACACATCCTCAGGTCAGAGCCAGTGGTCAGAGTCAAAACAGTTTACTAATAAGCCTCTGCCTCAAGGCAAATACAGCGCTGCTTGCTGATGAAGCTCTGTATGGTCAATTAATATGACTGCAGTCCACAGACATGAATAGAAGCTGGCATACATTGAAGCTGGTAAAAAGTATTAACGGGTTGACGAAAAGAGCACTGACCAGAAGAGAGTCGAATCCAGGTAGCAGGAGTTGTAGTGGCCCTGAATGCCTTTCTTTTTCCCCACCATGACATCCAGACCATCATTTTCTGTGCGTGGAGGAGTGTTCTCGTGTACTACCTCACTCAGGTAACCCCCAAATGCTGAAGAAACAAACAAACAAAAAAACACACACACACACATTAAGTGTAAAAACAATGCGTTGGGGAACAATGGTTTTGATGACAGCTGTACTCATTCACATACTTCCTACTGACTCACCGATGGAGTTGCACCGCTCTATGGGGTTGGAGGAGTGGTGCAGGGATGGGAAGCGGGAGTCAGGTCGGCAGCACTTGAGCTTTACAAACAGAGCTTTTTTGGGTGGGCAGGTGAAGTACCGTGTGCCTTTGAAGGTGCCGTCAGTGCAACCAGGGCACTCTTCTTCCTGGAAGAGAAGGTCAAAGTCATGCGATCGTATTGCTGCAAGGTACTGCAGATATGTGCAGTAAAAAAACAAAAAAGCATAGGGACTTATTTATACTGCTTTCTCCCAAAAGGGCAGATATTTAGGACTGCCTGATCATGACTTCTGTGGTAGCATGTTTAGTGATGGATATTTTTCATTTCACCCGCACCTTGTACTCACAGAGCCTACAAGAGGAAAAACGTTAATCAAACCCTGTGTTAACAGAGAAAGTACATTTTGGGAAATACTTTTTTTTTTTCTTGTTGTTGTTGCCTAGCAACCAGCAGAGAATCCAGGCGGTCACTGTGCTCAGCTAAGAAACTGTCCGGACCAAAAACCCTCTAAAATCAGTTTGTTGTATTTACTCTTCATCTTTTGAACAGATTAAAGAAAGCTGTTGTGATGTGTTAAGTACACAATGCAAGGTGGTGCTGAATGAGTTCCTATTTGATCAGGTATTAAATGTTACTGAGCTTTCACACTGTGAGCAACATGATCACACGGTGGCATAGGTCTACTGATTTCCTACCCAGCTCAACAGCAAGTTTGATGAAAGAAATCATGTGTGGAGGATCAAAACAAGCTTGTTGATGCACGTTTGACTGATACTTTCAAGATCATCCGTCAGTCCGAGTTCGTAGTAGCAACAGCATGTACAAACAGCAAGCCTTTTAGCAGCACAAACTTTAAAACCTTAAGATTCAAAACCAAGCCAAGGCTCGGTGGCGGTTGTTGCGTAACAGGTTGGAAAGCACTGCAATCACTGACAAGTGAATAGCAGCTAAGTATCATATTTACTTGAAGAAACTACTTTAACTTAACAATGTCTATATCAAGGCTGGCTCAGCTGTGTGAGTAAGATAGTCTGGTTGACAATCAGCCAATCTGGGAGGCACTAATCGCTTCATGTTCCTGCCTAGACTTCCAAAAATGTGTCTACATTTGGGGTTGATATGTATTAAAAGCTGAAATTAGCAACAACATTAAGAAAGTCACTGTGACAAATGCAGAGACTTGATGATTTAAATGTAGGACATCAGTACCGCAAAGCAGTGCAGTTGCCACGTCTGGAGTAAATAAAGCTACACTGGTGACTCAGTATCACAGCTTATAACAGTCTCCTGAGCCATTATATTCCTAGAGCCAGCAGTATTTTACAGTATCCATTATTTTTTCTCCATGTACTGATTCTAAAATAAAGAATTAATTTGCAAAAACAGAAAACTCCATCTTCACAAACCTTCAGAAAACCCACTTTTCCATCGTCTACCTGAGACAATATCAATCAAACTTAAGTTATCTCTAGTTTTGTCATTTCTACCGAGTGAAATCCACTCAACTTCAGTTTGATTGATATTATCTCAAGCGAACAACAAAAAAATACGTTTTCTGAAAATCTATAAAAATTTAGTTTTTTTGCACAAGACCTCTTCAAATGCATATCCAACATCCATGTATACACTGGTATGCTTTCTTACCAGCTCCAGACCAGCCAATGGCTCCAGCAGGCCAGGAGGTAGACCCACCCAACGGATGACACCACACAGAGGGGGGTTCTCCTTCACCTCCACCAGAGAGCCCACTTCTAGACCTGGCTGTCCTCGGGGAGGCGTCGGAGGCCGCGGCGAGGGAGGGGCGGCGGGTGACGGGGGCTCAGGCTGCTCTCCCATCACCGACTGGACGGAGAGGGAGAGAGGCCCATGGCTCATACTGTCTATGGGCCCGGTTTTGCGGTTCAGGCTGAAGGGCAGCGAGTGGAACTTGTTGTCACTGGACAACGAGGCAGAGGGCGGGGCTCTGGAGGGCGGGGAGGACTGGTTGAAGTCAGGGGGGGTGTCAGTGAGCGACTTGGCGGGGTCCTCCCCAACTGAAGGAGAGAAACCAGAAACCCAAACTTAAAATCTATTTATGTCACGCAGGCTGTGTTTACTAAAGTACAGATGTCTTTAAAAAGTAAACGGAATATCCACATTTAACTGATCTCATTTGGTTGAAAGTCTGTGGTGATGGGAGACTTTAACCCTGTTGATCAGCAGATGATTAACAGTGTCAGTATCTTAGGGCATTTTCTCACATGAGTCAACTTAATAATTTAGTGTGAGTGTATGTTCTCCTTGCAAAGGGCATGTTTGGTAGAAGTGAAAGTGTGTAATATTTTACAGCATTAACTTCATTCAACAATCTACTTCTCTATTTTTGCTGAAGCCATTTTCTTCTGAGGTGGTACAATCCTAACAAGTGATGAAAATACTACAAGCAAAAGTCTCAAAAGACATTTTAACTGGTTAGCCGTGGTTGGTGAAAAGGTGTGCAGGTGGATTTTGAACTTTACTGGCGGCCCTTGAACTACTCATCTGAGCCTCCAAATCTATCTAATAAAAATCCCCTTACTCTACATGTCCGATTGAAAAATGAACCAAAAATAAATTGTTTACACGAACCTGATTCTGTAAAAGACTAACATTTTGTACTCCACTGTGCAACCATGAAGTACTGGGAACACCTGTGGGCAAATTCAACCTTCACTTTTTCTTTTATGATTTATGGCATTCTAATTTTTTGGTACTGCAAAAAAGACATTTCTGAGGTCCTTCTACTTGCCATAGTTGTGTTGGAGATGCAGAACTTTTAATTGCAGTGAAAAATAAGCCTGCAGCAAGTAAAAATGTGACAGGAGCAAAAAAATGCCAAGAAACCGCTTCAGAGGGTTAAGTGAGAAGAAAATACAAAAAGGTATCTGTTGTAGAGTACACTGTGAAGTCTTTCAGAGATTGTGATGTGCTAAAATGATTCATTCCTGAAGGAACAAGTCTCCGTATCTGGTTAAGTGTGAAAATGCCCTCAGCCGACGTGTGATGTCAGGTTGTGCAGACTCCTTCACTATGTTGACACACTGAAGTAATCAAGAATCAACCACTTATTTATTTGCAAGATCAAATTTCCAATTTTCAGAGGTGGCATACTTACAGTCGGCGTTCTTCATAATTTAGTAAAAGCAGGTTGTCCACAAGTGCTTTGTTAAACAAATCACACGTTTTAAAACACTGACTAAGGAATTTAAAAGCATGCATTTGTGGACGGAAAGCCCCACTTCATTCAGAAGGACTCCTTGTGTACCAGGACAGTTTAGTCAATACTTACATGCTCTTTGCCAAAGCCAAAAACTGGAGTATACTAAAGGGGAATTTCGTACACATTTTACGCAAATTCAAATGACTGAAACTAAAAAAGGAGGAACTTCATACAGAAGCGAGAGGTCACTAAAATTATACTCCATTAACCTCCACAACATTAACATATTCTAGTTAGAGAAGTATGACTCTGCTTCTCCCCTGCAGATGAAATTCAACAGGAAACGACCTACTTATTATAAATCTTCTTATTATGATATTTATTGCTGTTATACTGTTTTTAATTGCATTTGGTATGAGGCCAGTGCAGTTTAGCTGCTACTGTCTTCAGATTGTACTGGAGTTATTTCATATGATCTATTCTAAACAACCCCCTTAAAAACATTCTGGAATTTTTCAGAAATGCCGATAATAACAATACAATCAAACATTACAGGTAGAGGTTGTAAATCTGACTTGTTTTAGCAATTCAGCATTTCTTTACCCTTGAAGCATTCATTATCCTTTAGTTTAAAATAAAAAAACAAAACACTTTCATCACAGTTGCATAGTTTTCTCTATGATTTTTAACTTCAGGAAAGAGCAATACAAAAATCCAGCAGTGACTTAAGTGTCGCTGATAAATAATAGAAATGCTAGAATGTCCCTTTAAGCTTTTCATCCACAACTGAAATGTTCTTTTACAGATAGAACCACAAGAATGTGAAGCCTTGTCTGCTGGCTTCATGACAGAAATGAAAGTCACCAGAACCATTTATTTTTAAAGCCCACAATGTGAAAAATGACCCTGAGGAAGATGAAAAATGATTACACATTCACAGGATGAGTTAGCAGTTGTGAAAACAGCAAGTCAGCTATTTATGACTGACCTCCTAATTTCTGCAATACAAACAGTAAGTGAGATTGCATGAATTAGCATTGAAATACTACTGCAGGCTCTCAAGAAATCTGCTTTGCAGTGCCAGATGGTAACACCACAATCACTTGTACACAATCGAGGCTGATTGATGCCAAATTTCTGAGCTTTGTCATTTTTGCCTTGACAGTGATGTACATATTCACGTTCTCTTTTTTTTGGATGTTTTGTGATCCTGTCTTCAAGCTCCAAAGACAATTTGTTTATTCATTAAAGCTGAAGCTTATCCCGAGTGTGGCAATACACAGAGTCGTGAATATCAGGAGTGCTGCATATATAAATCACCTTTAAGGTAAAAAAGCGCTTCACAACTGACAAATGTTGGTGATGACATGAGCAGTGGAACTGTAACAACAACAACAAAAACTTGTTTCCCTTCACCAACAGAAACAGAACAACAGCGAGACAACGTGCTGACTGAACCAGTCCATCCTGACACCAGCAGCAAAGTCTTTTACTAATGCTTTGGCCAGCAAATAGCATCACACTAAAAGTTTAAGACAGCAGCCAGTTAAGATGTCATTTGCAGCACTGAGCATTATTAAAAGCCTTCAGCAACACCAATTACTCCATGCAGGTACGATATCAAGCTACAATGATGATGAAGGACAAGACTAGTGGACAGGTCTTTATAGCAAGCTACTGCAACAAACTACTCGTCGTGTTTCTTCTCTGGAAACCATGTTTGGGGCAGAAATCTACCTAAAGTGTCCTGTAACCAACTTCTTGGAAATACCAGAGCCTTGCAAAAACTGATCATTTTGTCCTACTTAAGCGAAATTAAGGTGGGCATTGTGTCCCAGCATACAGTAATTAAAGCATGTAGCCTACATATATAAACTAATTTCCAGGAAACACCAAACTCTCCCACTTCTTTAATAAGAAAACAACACAAAAAGAAAGCACATAATCGTTGTTTTCCAGCTTCTTAGGACTTCTTATAGGTACAAGTCACTTCCACAAATGAATTTTGTCACTGCTGTCCCTTTTTGTCGTCTATCTTTTAGAACAAATGCTTCCACAAATGTGATGTTCCACACAAACCCATGTCAATATGCAACCACCATGAGCTTCCTGTGCTCCAAGTCTATATATCCGTCTATTTATTTCGTATCACACATGTTTAGGAAATGTATAATCTCTGCTTTTCTCCTGTATACATTTTAGTAATTCTAAAATGTAGCTCTTCTGTAACCTACTAAAAACTATTGTAGTTCATGGATAAGATGGGTTGCTGTGTTGCTGGTATTTCTTATATTAGCCAGTACGGTGCAGACAGCAGACTACCTCTGTTTGAGCACCACAGCTCCATTTAGTTACTGCTTAAAGGATAAAAGGAAGCTCAATCACTAAGTCAATTTACAACAATATGCTGAGGAGTAATTGAGACTGATGGTCTCCTGCATCAGTGTCTGACTGAAAAATGACTTTATACTCAATCAAATTTATCACAAATGGTACACTGTATATTTAGCAAGATTAGCAACAAAATTAATAACCAAAACGTTTCTCATGTAAGAGATATTGTGGCAAACTTCCATCATTTGTATTTTACAGTTATGACAAAACCGTCATGTAAGTAAAAACAATTCAAAAAGCTTCCAAGATGATTATAAACATTATTGTATTGCAGTGGGAGAAATGGGCGTCCAGCTATACCGAATGCTACAACTATTCGTACTGTAGTGTATGCTGCATTTGGAGGACACTTCTATTTAGAGCAACCCACAGTACCACAGAGTCTTAGTACAGAGGTAGCCCAGTGGGAATGGAACCCCTGATCCTGCCAATGTAAGTATTAAAACTGAACAGCACCAATAAAAGTAGGCCATAGTGAAACAGATGACTATGTAGCTTGTTGTGAACAGGAGCTTGCCAGTCAGATGGTTGACATCCCATGAGCACCCTTTTATTTTTACCTTCATCAATGTACCATGTGCTTTTGGATTTGGACTGGGCTGGGGGATCAAGAGAGCTGCCATTTAAAGTATAGTAAAACTCAGACTTGCTTCTACTGCCACACTGATGACCTAATCCTGTAAATAACACAAGTACACGAAGAAAAAAAAAAAAGAAGAAAAAAACAGAGAAAGATAAGCATAATTTGAATGTGCGCACTGTGTGGGTGTGTCTGTGTCTGAGATTATGTTTTCTTTCCACCAAGTTTCAACAGAGAATCGAGGCAAAAAGAAATGCGTAGAAAATCCTACAACAAAGTACCACAAGGAGGGAGAAGAAATCAGACTTATTTCATGCACAAATCAATTCAGCTGCTACAGGAAAAACAGAGGTAAACACACCCTCTGTTATTATCTATTGAAAGGGGCTTCCCACCAAAGTGAGTACAGCTTGTTATTATTCACTTGTCTTACTGCCTGCCTAAAATATTACAAGTTTCAAAACCTGTTTCCTTTTAAGAACTGTCTGCAACTAAGAAAAGACATCTGTAGAGTTTGTTAAAAGCGTTGATGTAATGCCACTTCAGTAATCATCATCACTCCAAGATGCGAGTAAGTCGGTTAGCTTTGTATCACAACAGCAGTGCAGTACCTTTGCTCTTTGGTTTGCTTTGGCCAGAGGACGACTTGTCACTGTTGGTGCCTCTGGGGGCAAAACTGTGCTTCTGCAGCCTTTGGTCCTGCATGGAATATTCTGTACAGCCCAGAAATACATCCACATTAAAGGCGCAACACTCCTGCCAGCCCGCATTAAACTACCATGCACTGAATGATTTCCACAACCACTTGCAATTTAAGTAAGTTTACTCTGACCTATCGTTTTTCTTTATTGTTTTCAGTTTGTCACTGCAGTTTGTTGAACAGATTTCAACATCCATCAAGAAATGTACAGAATGTATTTCAGCTTCCTCTACAGGAAAAATAATTTTAATAGATTAAACTTTACCAAGATATTCCTTCACAGGCAGTTCATAACCTGGAGAGCAGCACTGAGCCAGTGAGAACAGCTTGTGAGTTTCTTATGGAAAGTTTCCCTCCAAAGATTGTGTTTAACTGCATGTTAGTAACCATAAGTTATCTTGTCTTTCACTTTGCAAACAGGCTGATTGTTACAAAGAAAGCTTTTTCACTGTCTAGTATCAAGAGCGTGACAAATAAGGAACCAATGAATAACAAATTGTGTTTTGAGACACATTTTAAATTAGCTCTACTTAGCGACAACATTTACTTTGTGTCGTCTGTCTGCACAGTGCTAAAGGAAGAGTTGACAAATTTGCAAAATTAACAATGTCAATCTTCACAATTTTCTGAATGCAAGACTGAATAATCAGAGATGTGGCAGTAGCACACATAAACAAATCAATATGCCACTGTGGAGAACAAAGAGACAGAGTATCTCACTTGACTTTCAAAAACAAGTGAGCCATCAACACAAAAGGCTCTCTGTTCTCGCTGCAAGCAAAACACAAACTCAGAATGCTCAGAAGGAGCTCAGTGCTGGTCCAAGTGAGGGACAGCTGAATGTTTTCAGATAACGCTAAGATTTGACAACATACACATGGTGTAAAAACAAGTACAAATACTAGATGACTCACCTGGCATTACGTCACAGATTGGGACGAGTCGAGTGTGCTCCAAACTGGCAAAATTACACAGCAGCTTCCCGTCAAACACACCATCCCAGTCCCCAATCGGATTGTCCTGAAAGAGTTGGAGACATGACCACCTTGTAACCCTCTGAGGCGCTCTTCAACACTCACTAAGTTGGAGCCACACGTGCTCCTTCCCCTAGAACCTTCTCAGTGATTAACAAGGTCTATTGTCTTGTCGCTCTATCTGAAGATTCTAAACAATATGGATCCTCTGTACTGTGATAATCCAAACTGCTCATCTCATCTTCTCAGATCTTCCAGCTCAGGTCCTCCCTCCTGAAAGCTCCACTTTCTCTGCGAGCGCAACCACGCTTGTTCTTCTTTAGTTTGGAATCCTGGATTCTGCTCCAGAGGGATAATCTAAGATAAGCCTGAGGCCAGTGCCACTAGCTAGAGAAGGCAGGGCGAGGCTGGACGCAGAGTGAGGCAGAGCAGTGGGCTCTCCTCAGCTGCCTGCTGGCCCCTTGCCATGCTGTTGGGTCATACAGCACTAAGTCTTTACCTCACTCCCCGCGTGACTGCCTTGCCTTTGTGTGGGAGGCTCAGATGCACTGAGTGGGCTGCTGCTGCGGCTGCTGTTGGTGCTGCTGCTAACGATCAGCAGTCAAATGCCTCAGTTATGTGTTTCAATCTCTCGATGACTACAATATCACTCCCGCCTGACAACAGTAGTCATAGCTACACTGATCCAAGGCAACAAGACATGTTCCTTCAATGGTCATTAAAAAAAAACAAAAAAAAAAAACACATGCAAATCATGACAGAAAACCTGAAACAATAACTCTGCTAAAATTACCAACTTGAATGTAAATGCCACAATGCCCATGTAACACCATTTTTTATGGAATGAAACAATGAATGGCAGAGCATTCTTGTACGTCAACAACTAGGAATGAACTGTATTTAAAGAAACATTCCTTTCAATATTTTGGGAAATCAGTGGTAATTATTTTGCTTCTTCTGCAGCTCAGTGACAAAATCAAGGTGTAAAGGTGACATAGTGAGGGAGGAGGGGGGTATGTTTTGGACTGTAAAGTGGTCACGACCAGCTGCCAGGGAAAAAGGGGTGACTCCATGAAGTTACTGATCCCACCCCAACTAATCACCAATCAGCCAGCTTTCAAGGTGCCAGTTGGTACAATGCCTATAAAAAGTATTCACCCCCCTTGGATGTTGTCCCCTTCTAATGCGTTTATACATGAAATGTATGGTCAATGTAATTTAGCTTTTCTGACAAGAATTTGAAAAAAGAAAAACTCTTTTTTTTTTTTTTTTTACAAAATAATGGAACTTAATTAAAAATATATGCGGAAAAGTAAATGACTGCACAAATACTCCCTCCCTTCAGGTCAGTATTTAGGAGATGCACCTTTGGCTGCAATCACAGCACTGAGTCTGTGTGGATGTGTGTCAATCAGGCTGGCACATCTGGACGCTGCAATTCTTTTCCATTCTTCCTAGAAAAACAGCTCAAGCTCTATCAGGTTGCCCAGAGATCAGGCATGAACAGCTCTTTTCTTGCCTGTTCGCTCAGTTTGTGAGGACGGCCAGCTCTAGGTGGATTTAAACCATCCATTTCTTAATGATGGACTTAAATGAACTCCGTGGGATGTCCAGTGAGTTGGAAATCTTTTTTGCCATCTCTTGACATATAGTTTTCAATGTTCTTTTCTGTGAGTTGCTTGGAGTGTTCTTTTGTCTTCATGTTGCAATTGTAGCAGGAATACTGATGAACCAGAGACTGGATCTCCATACACAGATGCTTTTATATTACAATCACTTGACACACATCAGCGACACTCAAGTGATCTCCATTTCACTAGTTGTGACACTGCTGGCATCACCTTGCTGGACCTCTGTTAAGTTAGGTCAGTCACTTTAAAAAGGGTGAATATTTATATAAATACCTTTTTTACACTGTATATTTTAATGAATTGACATTAGCTATTACAAAATCTGTTTTAACTTTGATATTAATTTTTTGTTTTGTTTTTTTGCAAATTCTTGTAAAAAAAAAAAAAAAAGCCAAAATATATTGACCATGATTTTATACATAAAAGCAACAAAAGGGTGAAACATCCAAGGGGGTGAATACTTTTTATATAAAAATGATATATCTAGGTATTGTTTGATACATCAGGACAGAGACAGGCTAGCTGTTGCCTCTAATTTCCAGTCTTTGTGCTAAGCTAAGTTAGCCCGCAGCAGGCTTCATGCTTAGCATACAGTCATGTCACTGCTGGTAATCATCTCATCTCTTGGAAGGAAAGTGAATAAGCATATTTACTCCCTTATAAATAAATAAACACATTGTAAAAATTCTAGATTTTTTTGCAAATTATTTATCATTTATTTCTTGAAAGAACTAACTGCTTAGTTTGAAGGAAATCAGGACACTGTGAAACATGTGTATCATAAACACCCCAGAGCCCAAGGCGATCAAATGGATTATTTAGCACCTTTAGAACTCGACAAGTATTTGGGCATTGTGCATTCTATGCACCACGATTTAGTACTTGATCTTAATCTTGTGTTGGTTGTACATATATTCAGAGGGAGCCATGCTTACCATGTCAACTCCCACATAGTAGCCCAGGCTCTCATTGCCTGGCAGCAGTTCACAAAAAATGATGGTGCCTCTCTCAGGTCCCTCCCTGGTCTGCACCAGGACCCTGGAGTTGATCTCTAGTGGAGGAAAGTCCTGATCCTCTTCCACCAGACTGACGTGGTCCACCTCCAGCTCTCCCAAGGGTTCATCATCATCATCCTCCCAGAGTTCAAGCTTGTCCAGAGCCACAAACACGCCACACTCATCCTCACAGCGGAAAAGCTGGCGGCCCTGGTAGGAGCCCTCCGTGAAGCCCTGGCCTCGACCTTCCTCCTGGGACAGGAAAGTAGAGGAAAGATGATGAGACAAGTTTAGAGAGTGAGGCAGAACAGGAACAAGAGAGATGAGTAACTTATTGTCATAAGGAGGGCAGGTAGCAAGGATGCTTGCTCAGCATTCTTCCGCAGAGGGAAGTCAACATCCCAGAGCTGTGAGAGCATCTGATCGATTACTGCAGCAGGAATACGACTTGACTTACTGCGATGACAAATACATTCAAAAAATTTCCAGTATAGATATTGAATGCATTCGCAAGTCATACTACAACATATTGTGAATCTTTTCTCACAGTCCCTCTAGATGAAAAACTGCTGAGTCCCTATTAGCGCTGGCAAAAAGAACACACTGATCTCTGCTTGGTTAATATTATCACTAGCATATGTGCTAACTGAGGCGTTCATACTGACCTACAGTTTGAATGCTTTAGCTCCATCAGCCCACTCAAGAAGACTACAGCTGGACTCAGTAGAATAAAAACAACATTGTGCTGCAATAAGCAACCCTTTGTATTTTGCTACTTATTGTTCTGTACATACAAACCGGCATGAATGGTATGAAGAATCAAGAACTCAGATTTAGTGTTGAGATTAAAGGAGAAGAAATAAAATGTTGTCATGATCTGCTTTCACTCACGTCTGTCAAAACACTGCAGCTTTGTTCCAGCCTTCACTAAAACAAAATGACATTTGTATCCAGCCTCAGTCTTTCAAGTTTAAGTAAAATTTCCCATAAACCTTACAGTTGTAGAAAACAATCTAAAAATGTCTAAAGGCAAAACATCTAAGTTAGCAAATCCAACATATGCTCACTCAATCCTGCACTTTCAGTTGAAATAGGACACACAAGGTGGCGAGATGTGACATTCTCATTGCAAAAGCCATACAAATATAAATAGTCAGCTTTTCATTTGGCCCCTGCAGCACTGCCCCATACACAAGTCAACAAAACATGTCTTCATGTACCAGTCTGCAGAATTTAGTGGCATTTAGCAGTGAGGTTATAGATTGCAACAACAGACTGTATATAAAAGATGGACATAGCCACTGTGACATCACCCCCTGGTTTGTGGACTACCCTTTTTAAGCATTGAGTGTGAAATTTGGCTGACACCATCTTGGTCTTTGAAAAAAAACAAACATAATGAGCAAGGGGTGGATTTGACTGACATATCAATCACTGAGCAGGACTGCTCTAAAATATATGCTGCTTGTTCACTCTAAATAAGACTATAATTTACAAATACAGCACAACGCTGTATTCAAAAAGTCTTACAACTAGCAATTGAGGCCATAAACCCATTAATAAAAATGTTTCCTGATGTAGTCAATCAAAGGAGAAGTAGGGTAATTTGCTAATAATCTGATTTTTTTTCAGGCCCCGTTGGCCATTACAAACATCCATCCATCCTCTATACAGCGTTTAATCCTCACTAGGGTTGCCAGGGGGGAGCTGGAGCCGATGCCAGCTGACTCAGGACAAAAGCAGGGGACACCCTGGACAGGTCGCCAGTCTATCACAGGGCAACACATAGAGACAAACAGGCACACGCACATTCACACCTACTGACAATTTAGAATTACCAATAAACCTCAGCATGTTTTTGGAGAATCAGGTGAGGAAGAACAGGAAGAACATGCAAACTCCACACAGAAAGATCCCAGTCATTCTAACCGGGATGTGAACCAGAGACCGTCTAGCTGTGAGGTGAAAGTGCTAACAACCGAGCCACCATGCAGCCCCCATTACAAACACTGCAGGTTTAAGTGGCTTGGATATTGGCTTTACTGTGAATACCCAGAGGCTATGTCCATCAATCAATGATCACAAACATCTCACTCACATCTGCTTTTTCAAGTATGTAGGAGAACCAATGATGACCACACTTCAACATAAAACCCCAAAAAGTCCTCTAGAGAGCCAGTGTTTGGTTTGTCTATCCTGTTCGACTGTAGAAACATGATGGTAAATCATGGCAGAAAAGGACCCACTCTCTTTGTGGCTATAAAGGACTTATTTTAGTCACACTAGAGCTGCATTGTTCTGGGTTTTTGCCAACATTAGTGTATGAAGTCACCAAGACACTTTCCAGAAAAAGCTGCAAAGCAACCCGAGCTTTGTGTAAAGAGAGTGTCTGGAGAAATCTAAGGATTGTTTCCCTTCTGTTGGGTACATAGGTACAAGTCCCAAGTCCACTGAGCCTAAAATAGCATTAGACTCACACTCCAGCAAAAACACACTTCTTTTTGTCTTATTCATCGGGAGGAGAGGTACAAACACGTGAATGCATTGCAATTACCACGAGCACGCTTCCTATCGAGGGCCAAGAATTGTAAGAGGACACAGCTGTACTTCAGTGCCTAATAAATAAAGACAGCAGTGATTGTGTATAATTGTGAAGAATACCTCATTCATTTGCTGGAGAAGTGCACTGATGCAGTTCCAAGCAGTTGTCCACAACTTATAAAAAAGAAAAGGTAGTTTCTTATACAAGCTTGTGTTCCTTTCTGACGGCTGGTTTGCAATCAGCGTATCATTGTGCCATTAATACCTGTGAGCTAAAAAAAAAAAAAAAAAAAAGTATGTACTGTGGATGTGGTGTTTCTTCCTGTCTGTGTTCTTTTTTTTTTTTGTCATGTTATTGAAAAAGAAACCTGAATCCAGTCAACAGAAAACTTCCAATTTTTGAGGCAGAATTTCGTCTTATTTACACAGAGTAATTTTTAAACTCAGTGTAATAAATTTTATTTAATATTTCAAGTATAGTGGCTATCTCGTGTATAATGAACAGAGTGGAAACATGAACTACGCATCTACAAGAACACTATCTTCAAACAAAGACAGAAAAGTTCTCACCAGCAGCTCCACTCCAAACCAGATTCCAGAGAGCGCTCTGTCAGGGAGCAGCGAGCCTTTGAAGCGGACCACACCAGGCAGAGGTTCATCCCCTGAGCGCAGCTGGACGCGCACCTTAGAACCACAGTCAATGTCGCGGACGCGCTCTAGCCGTGACTTGTTGCAGAGCAGGGCGTATCGCTCCTCACAGTTGGTAATGGGGAACAGCAACTCTGCCAGCTTCTCGTCCAGCTCCAGGACATCCCGCTCATCCAGGCTCAGCACCACATTGGTCTGATCCAGAATACGGAGACTTTTCTTGCCCTTGCATGGAGGCAGTGTTCGTCCCAGGCTGTTGCGCTCCTGGCAGGCCTGACCAAGACTGCCACGGGGGATCCTCAGAGTCTTCTGGGGAGGCTTCTCCACCGTACACTCCTTCACAACCATGTAGAAGCGCCAGTCCTCTCGGAAGCCCCCGCTGGGCTTCTCCTGGCTCCACAGGGCAGAGCTCATGGCTGCATGCTAGGCAGGAGGTCCAACATCAAGGCAAGCTTGATCTGTGGTCTGTGGGGAAAAAAACAACATGTATGTCCAACTCTTAAAAAAAAAAATCAAGTCAATATATCAATAGACATGTACAACTAATATAGGAAGAGCAAAAGTACTTCTATTTTCTAAATTAGAATGCTAATCCTTCAAGAAAGTGTTTTGACACTGTCAATAAAAATACAGCTACATATAATTAAAATGTCTTCTTATTCAAATCAGTTAACTGGCAAATGAACAAAAATTGCATTATGTATTACTCTGTGTCTGTAACTATTTGCATGCTTTTGTTTTGACATGTCTGCTATTTTGCAATGTGGATACCACAACATTATTAAACATTAAACAATGGCCCAGGCAAGACTTAAATATAGGATTACTTTAGCAAAGCACCTGAGGGCATTGCCAGTACTTCTTGATAACACAACACAGCTCACTCAAGCAACATCTTTTTTTCTAAAAGCAGAACTTGGCATAAACAGGTGGACACAGTTTCATTAATTAGATGCAAATTGATTATTGACAAGTTATCTGAATGATGAAGAATTTTGACCCTAGGACAAAAAACACTGAACTCTGTAAAGGACCACTAGGTCTTAACTAGCTCATCTGTGACCCGGTTAGCTTGTGGTTTGTTGTGAGAAACCCACCAGCTCTTGCTGGTCTCAGCTGTGTGTTCTCGCTGCTGCCCAGTCACGCCTGTGCAGCCCCCCTGTTTTTAGCAGCACCTCGTGTGATATTACTCATATCTACTGATTTGAATGTTCTAAATATAGCCGGTGAGCAGACAGTTGACTTTTTCTGACACTCAGGGCAAGAGTAACACCAGACGAGTGGATTTCCCCTGAGCACACATCAGATATGATATTCAACCACCCAGCACAGTCAAGGACTACTTCTACATCCGTTTTTTTTTTTCAAGCATGACAGCAGAAGCAGTGTTACGGCATTTATGTGGATAAGACCATGTTGTTTCCACTAACTGATGATATGTCAGCGAGCACATTACCGTTACGCCGATATTGTTTCAGCTAATAGGGCTCAGACACAACACAAACCCCAAAGTGATTTTAACTTGACATGCGCTGACCTAACGCGACATTGACGTAGCGTGGTCTTTCAGGTGACAACCACAGAGCAATATTATGACTCGTTTAAATTAACATTTTCCTTTACAACCACAGCAGCAGTGTGTCACCGGGCAGAAGCTGTCAGTCCACGGCCCTTTAAGAGAGGGAAGTGGCTAACAGACTGTGAGCTAAAATGCACTAAACAGTCATTCACGTTCATTTCCAACGGCATGTACACCTTACCTCTGATAGGCGTCAGTTCGGTTAGAGGCTACAGATGACTGTCATTTCAAACGCCCATTCCAGTTAGATAGAGGCCTCTGGAAACAAGCTAGATTCCCTCCGTAATAACCTCTGATTAGCTAAATGGCTAGCTAATGCTAGCGTCCTAACCAGCCCAGTATCACGCTAAAGTTAGCCTAGCGAGCTGGTCAACAGCAAGCAGGCCGGCAGAGAACTGCCACCTTCTACAGTACGCTACCTGCATTTAGATAAATCTGTTCTCCATGAGAAATACGTAAAATAAAACAGTGTATCGCTACATCTGTGAGATATATTATTTACAGGAGACGACCTCACGAAACTTAACGGGTGACGTCATTGCACTCTGAGACAGCCATTGGTCAGCCGCTGTGTTCTCAAGCGCCGATTGGCTGCTTGTGATGCCTGTAACCAAGTCCCGCCCTGTGGGGTTTTCCCACGGAGGGCAGAAAACGAGCTTGGTTGAAGTGTAGCTTCCAGGGCAGATGATGCTGTGACATCTGCAGGCAGTGGCGGAGGACTCGTTTACGCAAATGAGAGAGACAATTCTAAATCATAAAAACAACATCAATATTTTAGGCTGCTCAGATGAAACTAAATAAATTATTATCAGCAATATTTGCTCAATTATAACAAGTGTTTAAGCATTCTAAATCCCTTTAACAGCGGTATACACTATATAAAAAATTAATGAAATCGCATAAATTGGAATTTTATCAATGACGTATGCTTATGAGAAGAATTTGATCTTGCAGTTGGTTGACATGGAGCTTTTTATCAATGCTATATATACTGTTTGAAGGGTTTAAACGCAGCTTTGCAAAACAGTTGTTAGACCACCTGTTGTTTTCTTCAAAAAGTCTGCACAACAGTTTGCACTCATAACTTTGCTTGGATTCCATAGATGGTAAATGGTCTGCATTTATATAGCGCTTTTCTAGCTTAGTGGTACTCAAAGCGCACTACAATGTTTTCTCATTCACCCATTCACACACCAGTGGCAACAGAGCTGCCATGCACTGGTTCAGTGTCTTGCCTAAGACAGCTGTGGAGGGGCAGGGGATTGAACCACCAACCTTAGGATCAGAGGACAACCGCTCTACCACCTGAGCCACAGCCGCCCATTCCATTATAGTGGATAAATAATTATCTTCATCTTCTAAAAGACATGCAAAAAAGCTGTATAATAATTTAATATATTCAATAAATCATGTTAAAATATGATGTAATGAAACTGTAAAGAATGCAAAATTTACACTAAATGGTTGAAAGCATAAAGTCAACACATAATCCAAGCTAAAATATCACATAAATATTCCTGAAAGAACAGAATCATGAGATGATAAGAATACAACCATCGTGGTGCTTAAACGAGAGGGATACAGTTGGAGAACCGTCGCTAGCCATGGAATCCACAAAACAGCTGTTCATTACAACCCTAAGAATGAGCCGCAGTATGTGGAGTCATACAGCAGAAGAAGCAGAAAACAGCAGTCTAATAATTATTTTTTAAGCTGTGTCATATTTTCTGAGACGATCGTATGTTAAGTATGTAAGTATTGCAGATACAAACAACTACAATGTTATTATTATTATTATCATCAGTACCAGCAGCTGTGTTAGTGGTGGTGGTGGTGTGCTACACCTAGAGAAACACAGTGCAAGAGTGGATGTGTTTTGTGTGTTGAATATAGTGAATATAGCAAAATAAATTTCAGGTTTGACACATTTTCCAGTTCACATTTTCATAGAAAACATTTAATACAATAAATAGAAACCATTCTATTGCATGTACATTTCTAAGCCAACGTCTTCAGATCAGAAAGTCAGTCTTGATTCACGTTGTGCCATTTCTTGTACCTCCTCCGAACTGAGGTCATTGTTTCTCAACCTGCAGCGCAACAGGAAAAGACAAAAATCAATCAGTTACAATGCACGGTCACTTTGGAAATAAGAAGGAAGGTTAAAGCCTAACTAGGATTGTAGTTTAGCCAAAACTGATACAGGAAGTTATTCTTGGCGCTGAATCTAACAGTGTAGGTATGCATCACTCTAAATCCAGGAGGGAACAACCCACACACTAACCACACACATGTACTAACAACATGTGTAACAATGGGAATCCTTGTATGAATGTATGACATACCACACTGACTTGACACGCGCGTTGTGTTGCAGGGCTTCAATCAGACATTCCACCCCTGCTCTGGTTATGCAGTTCTCTGTCAACCTGTCACAGGAAACAAGAGGGTGGAGCAGTTTAGGCACTACTGTACAGTGACTGCTCAAATGTCACAACAGTCATTCAGTTAATGCAAATGTCATGTGCACAAGTCATATAAGTACAACTTGTCTCCAACACTTACCAGATTTCCTCCAGTGATGTGCTGTTTCTGATGACATTGGCGAGGGCACACGCTCCTGTGCTTCCAACACCGTTTCCTACCAGGCTGCCATTACATCAAATTCTAATTATATTCAAGACATATTACTAAGAATAAGCAAAAAAGTGTAGATAGGTGCAATGTATTTGGCGACTTCCAGAAATACATTATACAACTGATAAAGCATCCTCACACACAGCATATCTGTAATACATGTTCCACTCTGTCAAAGTTTACCTAGCATGAGCTGGTGTTTGAAGATAATATTACCTCAGCCACAGCAGAGTCTGGCTGTTCTCTAGGGCACCGGCAAGGGCCTCTGCTCCTGCATCGCCTACCTTATTGCCCCAAAGCCTGGGAACACAAAGAAAGATTTGTAAATGGCAATGCACAAACAATATAACGCAGGAAATTTTGCAGGAAAACTTTTACCCTAAATACTTCAGTGACTGATTGGATTTCAGTCCCTCTGCCAGCTGCTTTGCTCCTTCCTCTGTGATATTATTGTTGCCTAACCTGAAAGGAAAATATAAAGTTATTTTGCTATTCTTTTATACTGCACAGAGTTAGTTATTGGTGTAGCCCCACATTAGTGCAACATCTGATTGCTGCAGCAAGGTGCTGACCTTATAGAAAGGAAATCCTGCTTGGTCTTCAGAAGATGTGAAAAGTGCTGCATGCAAGCATCAGTTAGATTGTTGTTGAAGAGGCTGAAGAGGAACAAAATGATTACACAAGGTGGCAGACAAAATGTAATTCACGGTAGAGTTAGTAATCATCTTGACAACACTTACCTAATTTTCTGGAAGCTGTCACACTGGATACCTTTAGCAATCAGTTTGCGGATGCCCTCATCTGTAATGTTATTATTTCTGAGGCTGAAAACCAGAATACAGACACTTAGGTTTCTGTCTTACAATAAATGCTGTTAGACTTTGTTCACTATGAACTATTAGCTCAATGATTTACAAAAGAAATTTAACAAAGAGGAGTTGAAACTTTTTACACTTACTACAAGGATTTACAAATGTGCATGCAGGGAAGAAGCTGCTCCACTCCGACATCGCCGACAGAGTTGTTGTCCAGCTGGAGGCCAACAGGGTTTCTTAAATGTTGGAGCACATAGGCGAGTGCAGTGCACTCTACAGGACCAATGTTACAGTAGGTCAGCTTCAGGTGGTCCACTTCCAGCTTATGCATAGCATCTTTTGCAATCCTGCTCTCCTGCATTTCATAGATGCATTTGATGAGCCAGACAAAGCCTGGCATTGCATGCATGCTCTTCTTTTCCCCCTGCACAGGTTGGGGGATGGATTTAAAGTGTTTGTGCATGCCTTTGGAGAGGCATCTTGCAACTAGTCGGGCCTTTTTTTCCACCATAGTCGTGGAGCAGCAGTGGAGCCACAAGCTTAGATGGCGCTGGGACAGCAGTCCACTCACAAAGGTGGCTGTGATTTGCAGATTTGGTGTTTCTGCTGCTGTAGCTTCACTGTCTAAAACATGCTCCTTTTGGTCAGTGGAAGGCAAGCAGGATCTGAAGCATGCGCGTTTCACCCCTGTATCTCTCAACTCCTGTAGATTAAAGAGCTTGGGGATCACTGAACGGTCGGTGTTATTTGACATAACAATGTGGAGAGCAGCAAAGAAACATTGCAATGTCACATGGAGGAATTCATAATGTTTACTGTGGGTGGAGGACATGTCTTTGCTCTGTGTGAGAAAGCCCATGCAGATATCCTTTTCAGTTACACCACGTGTCTCCAGGTCTGTACCAGAGAAGACATAACATGTCATGGATATTCCTTCAAAGGCAAGCTGCCCCAGATGCAAGATTGTTTCTAGGTGCCCCTGTAGCCAGCCCAACCCCATAGCGCTCTTCAGAGGGCTCTGGCGCTGGAAAAAGTGTTGTAAGATCATCAGGTAAACATCTGTGATTGTTTGTGGGCTGCCTTCCCCACAGCCCAACAGCTCCTTATGGCACTGTGACACAATCCAGCAGAGGACTGGACTATGGCACAGTCCAAGTAAAGCTGTGTTTGCTTGTAGGGACTCTAGAACCTTTGCAGCTACAGTGGGGTCATTGTGATGCTTTCTCACAAAACAGTTAATCCCATTTGGAGAAAAGCCCTTCAGAAGGACCTCCTTGCGGAGGTACTTCTTTAACACAGGCCCCACTGCCTCTGGACGACTAGTGACCACTTTCCGCACCCCCTTTAGTAGTGAACCCTGGATTAAGTTGAACAATAGGATATGAACAGGTGCACGCTGGGTGGGGCAGCAGATTCTGTGTTCATCTGAAAAGCCCTGCTTGAGCTCATCCAGGCCATCAAAAGTGAAGAGGATGAAATGTGGGTGGTCCTGGATGAACTGGAAAATCTCTCCCTGCTCCCTGTCCGGCCAGCAGCAGTGCTGAAACAGCAATTCTTGGACAGACAGTTCCCTCTGCTCTGAGTTCAGCCTACGACAGCTGAATGGAAACAGAAGCAGATAGTCCTGAAGGGCTGCCCCCCGAGCCCAAAGTAAGTGCAGCCTCTGGAGTAAGGTGCTCTTCCCATTGCCCGCCTCCCCGGATATGAGCACCGTGTCGGCCTCCTCGTTCACTGTCCCTGCCGTCCCAACGATGTCCTCCAGGCCCAAAGGTCCTTGGATGTCAACACAGTCATGAGCCAGCTCCAACTGGCCTTCAGTGTAGATGTCATCTAGAGACATATGGCTAGTCCCTCCATAAGTACTGAGAAAGCAGGACTGGGCACAAACAGAACTGCTCAGCTTTTTCTGGTACGTCAAGACCTCTGTGAAAAAAAAGTGTATTCAAAAAAGATAAACTAGAATTAATCTACATACTAGTAGTGAAAATAACCCCATAATACATCCTTCCCACATCCTGCACATACAGTTTCTGCATGTATTCTGTAAAATGAGGAACTTGTTGTTTATTGTACACTCGTTCTTTCACATAGATTCTATTTTAGAGCTCCACTACTTCCATATTTTAACAGGAAACACATATCGTTCAATATGTCAGACAGAGTACACACAAGGTTCAACAAGAATGTGCATCTGCTGTCAGTTCATCATGTTCAAAGAAATAACACTACACAGTGTAATAATTTTCATCATGATTGTGATGATAACAAACCTTTGGGAGGAGTCAGTTTCTCCTGCTTCGGTGGGGATCCAACGTCGTGTTTTTGGTGAATGTACTGCAGGACAGCCGCTGCTGCTGACTCTCCCTTAGATCTGACGAGGTCAAGCAGACGCCTCGCCTGATTCACATTCAAATGACAACAACAACAGATTAATTACTGAAAGAATAGTTGAAAAGTTAAAAGTTGAAAAGTCTCATGTCTGTATGCTGAGTAGGATGCTTGCAGCAGCAGGTGGTAGACTGGTGGTAGAACAATGTCTCTTTTCTTATTATTGATATGAATTTTGAATATCAGTATGGGAAGTAGGAAGTATGCTTATTTAGAAGTTAATACAATTACAAATGACAAGAAATCATTTGCAATAAAACTAAATGTAAAACCTTGAAAGGGGCCATCTTCCCCCAGTCATTTCTTTAACTAGGGGAAGGCCAAAGTTTATTTGTGATCTTCAGTGAGTTTTAGGCGGATTTGTTACCAGTTGCTCTTACGAGCTTTACATTTACTTTGCAGACATGAAAGTTGCATTCATTTATGTAAGGGAAAAGGAAAAAGGCATTTATTTAAAGTAGCAATCTTGTCACTTTTTGTTTAAGCAAATGTCTACAGCTGCAGTAGGCGGAAATCAGAAAGAAAAAAAAAAAAAACTCCAGAATTTGAAATTTTACAGCCTCCCACAGCTCTTCACTCTCTACGCTCTGTTCTAACCTCCACCAGATGAGCAAGCGCTTCAAAATGCAAAGATAGGCAGTCTAGACGTCAACATTAATTTACTGTTACACGTGAGATTCAGACCACAACATTAAGAATGAAAGTCCTTCATCAGCCCCTGACACCACAGCATCCTGTTTTCATCAAGTACTTTTAAAATTTTTGTGTCACCCCATGTGGTCATTGAAAAGACCTGTGATTGGTTAAAACTGTCACAAGCAAGACTTTCTGAAGCCTGAAAAACAAGACAGACCACTGGAATTACGTTATGTTGAAAGGATAGCAGGACATTTTTGCACAATCATGCCAAACAATATGGCCTAAAAATATGCCACATTAGGTAACACAAAGCTGAATAAGCCTTTAAAATTAGACAACAGTCCTTGCATTTACAGTGTTGTGCCATGCACAGTTCACAACACAAGGTTCCAGCACCCAGCAGTTATTTAACGCAACAGACTCACACTCACCCATTGTTTTCAGCATTGTAATGGTTTGGACCTATGCTGTCTTTCCTTAATCTCAGAAGACTGTATTATCTTTGCATTTTTAGGTGTGATGAGCTGAATTGTTATGAAGGTGTGGCCCAGGTGCTGACTGACAGCGTCACCCAGCAACACTGTTTGGATTTCTGAGAGTTTCAAAAGCACACTGAGCTTGATTTGACACTATCATGATATACAGTCGTCCTCTAATGTATTCATGCCCTCCCATTAGAGAAGGAAGAAAACAGCTGTCACTGAAATAAGTTGAAATTCACAAAAGTAATAATAAATAAAAAAAATTATGAAAGTCATGACATTGCTTTTGAATTGTGGTTCAACAGAAAAAAAAGCAAGCAAACAAGCATAATGGGACTAAACTGAACTAATATTTAGTTGAACAACCCTTTGAGCCAATCACTGCAATCAAGTGTTTTCTTTAACTCCCAATCAGACTTCTACACCTGTTGACAGGTGTTTGGATTTTGGCCCACTGCTCATCAGCAAAGTGCTCTAATTTGTCCTGGACAGTATTTTTTTTTATTATTTTTTTTTTTAATTATTCTTTTCAATCACAATTCATAAGCAATGTTTGATTTAGCAAATTTTTTTTTTTTTAATTTTTACTTTTTTCAGTTTCCAGTTATTTGAGTGACTTGTGATTTTTTCCTTTTTGTTAATGGAAGGGTATGAATACATTTGAGGATGACTATATGCGTGCTGGTACTCATTTTGAGGTGGTGGTAAACCCACTTAAGCAAATATTTGAGACTGATAAAAATATAAACATAAAAGCAGAAACAACTTCCAGTAACTTCCTATACGACGTTCCAATAATAAGGGATGCAAAAACTCAGCATAGGCTTCATTCCAAGAAAAACAGATAAGAAGCAATAATAGGAAGCTGTCTAGCCACATTTTAATGACGTGTGTAAAACTGGGCGTTTTCAGTACCTGCTGAGTAGGAGTGTGTATGGGTAGACGCACTTCATCGAAATCTGCTTTGGTAAAATGGGATGATTGAACCAGAGCTTCCAGAGCACCTTCAATGCAGCCTTGAAGCTTGTAAATGAGACTCGGCCTCTGAGTCAGAAGAGTCTGAGTAGACGTTCTCCGAGTTTCTTCTTTTTCATCTACATCTGAACAGCTTCCTGATGAGGAGAAGTCAGGTCCTTGCACTTCTGGCAAGACCTGTTTGAGAGCAGCGAAGAAGATCCCGCATGTGTCCGCACCCTTTGTATAAACCACGTCGAGCAGCTGTCTGGCTTTGGTGTACAGCGCCTGTCCCGGTACCTGTATGTTCTGGTAGTCCTCCCATGTGAGCTCCCCCTGGGCAAGCAGTACATCCAGAACCCTCTCCAAATGTTCAGCTGAGCCACTGCTGCACAGTGCATGAAGTATATCTGTCCGTTGTTTGAGCACAAGCTCCTGGGCAGACATGCTGTCAGCCCAGTGCTAGAGGACATCCAGCTTGTACTTCTGCTGCTTTCAATGTCACAACCTGTCACAACAAACACCCGCATGTCATCACCGTGCAATTACTAGCCTCCTACAGTTTCATTTTCATGCTATTCCTCAGCTGTACATACACGCTATTTTATGCAAACTGTGTTATACACTCCTTAAAAACATGTATGAATACACAACTAAAGGAACCACAAACACATTCAACACACAGTAAAGTCATTGTAACTCACGTTAGACTGGCAACAACAGAGAGCCCTCTTCCCTCCATTTGTCATTTGCGCAGGAATACTTCAAATTTCAGACCCACCTCTTCCTCATTCCACTGTTGAAAGTGAAACTCCTTCTGCTGCCACATCCCTGCTCTAAAATGGAAACTAAATACTGCCTGCAAATGAAACAAGCAACAGAGAACATTCGAGCCACTTCCTCCATGTTTTCAAGACAGAACAAAAGCCGTTTTTCACAGACAGTTGTTTGATATTCGACGGTGGTCCGATATAGTTTGTCACAAAACCCATTGTTCACTGAGATGTTATGACATTTCTACATCCTCTTACCAGCTCAATTCTGCATGTTAGAACAGTAAAGAGGAATTGCAGTTTTTAAAAAGCAGAAGCTCTGGTCCTGAATAAAAAAGGTGAATTTTACTGTTAGAAATTCACTGGAAATACCCAGAAGGGGAAATCTGAGTTTGCGGCTCAATGCAAGCTGCAGTTTGGTGATGCAGCCACTTGATGGAACTGTTGCATAAATAAACTAACCTGGTTTTCTCCAGAACCCGGGACTTTCTTCATGTGTTTTCCTCCCTTTGACACGTTTCTATATTCCTCTTTTTGTCACATTTCTTTGTTTCTTTTTATATCTGAGGAGCTGTCTTGTTCCCATCATTCAGTCCTCTGTTTGTGCTCGAGGTTCAGTTGATGCTCGGTGGTTTAATTAGAAACACTTTGACGACAGGTCGGGGAGTGATTCTTGACAGGTTTGTCGGAAATAAAGATGCAATCATCTTAGTATGGTAATAAGTCTGCGGTGTTGGATTAGCAGTGATACTGTAACCGCTGAGAACCTGCAGCCCAGGCAGCATGCTGTTCATCTGATCTAACTTCAAAACCTGCATATAAAACACAAACCCTAAAACAGCTCATAATGCTCCCTGCTCCCCTTACATTCTTTGAAGTCAAGATGAAGTAAGTGCAAGAATAGCTTTTTGGGCGGTCACATGATTTATCATTATTGCTATTACAGCTCCCTCCTGAGTACCATGATTAGTTTATCGTGTGTCTTCACTGTGCCCTGTGGGGGAAAATCCTCAAACACACAAGGGCAGGAGCAATCAAAGGCAAACTGGAATAAAACTTTCAAAAGAGGAGTTTCTTTTTGTCTTCTTCTCCTTCTTGTCTAAGAAACAGGCAACTCCACCAAGGGGAGTGTAATGCAGAGTGCTCTCTGTCAAGACATCCAACATGAAGAGCTAAGGTGGGGTTCTGTCATCCAAATCACAGCTGGGGGTCCAGAGAAGTTTGGACGGATAAAAAAGAAAGGTAAGAAATTGTCAATAAAAAATACAGACTCAATCCCAAAAGACATCTCTGAGTATTTCTGTCCTCTGTTACAACAGAATTCTTAACACTTGGTGTGAAGACATGGAGAATATGCAGCTCCAACTTTATGCATCTGGGCTGGATGGATTCCTTTATTATTATTAATGAATAGATTTTTTTTAAATAGTAGTAATTATGTTCCTCCAAACACTTCACAGACGATTACGTTATGGGATAGTGTTCTCTTTATTTATTTATTTTTTTACAGCAGACAGATTGTCTTAAATGTGGCCTGGAAGATCTGCTCCTCAGCCTGCAGTTTATTGGGCATGAAAGTTAAATCTTGGTCCAGTCAGTTCAGCTCTGTGTATTCCAATATAAACTCCTGCCCAGCACTAAATAACCTCATCCACCGAGTCAGCTCAAACTGTATGTCAGTGCAGCTCAGTGCTGGATCCTCCCCACGCTCATAGCAGAGATGGAATACTTTGGCTCAGCCATTTTATCGCTGTGCATTCTTTCTGTGCAGATATCAAAAGCACATGTGGTGAGCTCAGCGTTAGGCCAGGTGCGCTGATGTATTGTATGTGCACTGAGCGCTTTGCCAGAGACTCAGAACTCCCAGAAGCAAATCGGCACGTCTCGTCGTCGGTGTAATCTGGTGAGTACACATGGTAAATCTGTGTTTCTGTTTTGACAGTGTGGACTTTAAAAGAATGCTGCACTGCACACAGAGAAATTGCGTCAATATAGTGCACAAAGCAACACAAGCAATCAATTAAAAAAACATATATTTTTATCATCATGAGGGACACTGAATGCAACAACAACACACAGCAGCAGCATAAACAGCACAAAATCAGTCCAGATGACATTTCTACACACTCGTAGCTAGCCTGATTAATTCTATTTAGCCAGAAAGATGCACACATCGTGTATGAAAGGCACCTTTTATGTATTCGATGTCTACGCTGGCTTTTTATTGTTTTCAGAAAATCCATTCTGAACAGCTAAGATTCTAAGAAACAGTAAGAGTGCATATTTGGATATTAGAGATGGAGGTTGATGCAATGTTTGCTGTGAGGTTAGAATAAACACACAGGCTCGCTACATCATATTTTAGATGTTTTCAATAGTTCTGTGATAAATAATTTGCAAAGAGGACCGAGTCAGTATTTAATTCTCACACTAAGCAAACCACAGAGAGGATACCCGGTCCGATGATGCAACACAGTTCCTCTGTCCAGTGCATGTGCTTACAGTTTGTGGTCTATTAACACAAGAACTTTCATGTTAACAGGTTAGACAAGAAAAAAAAAAAAAAAAAGAATAACGGCAGACGTAGAATCGATGGTGTCAAGTAAAATAGTGACAATCTGTTATGTTCTATTCCTCTGAGACAGAAGGGCTGACTAATGGAGGAGGATTAGCACGTTTGACTAATGGAGACACTGACAGCAGCACTGTAGTAATTCACGGATGCAAGCCACAGACTGACTCATACGTTGGAAGGATTGATTCGTAATTAGAAAAGGCCTCTCCAAGCCAAAGAGAGATTCAGCAGAGGAAGCGGATGGCATCGCTGACTGGTTAACAGGAGCACATGTATGTGTGTATGGGTGTGTGTGTCAATCAGGATTTAATTGACAGGAAGATTAAAGCTCACATCTGAGAGCCCCCCCCCTTTTTTTTTTTTTTTTTTGCAGGAGCAGCCAAGTTGAAGGAGTCTGGTCTCCAGCGTCTGCCCGAGGTTTGGGGTGCTGCGCTCAAGGTTAGCGCGGGCACCCTGCTGAGTGTGCGCTGTCTGAGATGGGTCCTACTTGTTGGACATTCATTATCAAACTCTGTTTGCTCCTTTCATCTGCAGCTCTCTGCAGCACTCAACGTAAACTACAGAGGCACCTTGCAGCTTGACATCTCTCCATTCAGTCTGTACCTTAAACAGCATGCTGCCACATCAAAGAGCTGCGGCTGCCTTTGATGTTGCAAAAAGAAAGAGCTCCAATGATCTACTAAAAACCAATGCAACTTTCTGGAGCCTTGTTTTATTCATTTGCTATCTCTAGAAGTCTGGAGTCAGACTCTAGAAGTCCAGACAGCAGATTTGGATTTTGGGAAAAGTTGGACGGTGCTGCTTGCAAAGTGAAGTGAAAAGAGAAACGCTGCTACTTTTCATATCGCTGTGATGGGGTTTGTGATTTCAGAATATCCCGCGATAAATGTCATAGATTCATGCATCAATGGAAAATAGCCTCATCAGGCTGAATTGGGTCCATATCTTCTGATGTGAGCAATTTACCACAGCTGTAGTTTACGTAGTTTTCATCCTTGCAAGAGGACAGTTACTCCGTTGTTGTTGAAGTCTTTAAGTTAATAATTTAGCTGCATCTTAATAAAATAAAACACATTCATGTTACAACATTAGAATTGTTAACAGTATCCTCAGTGTGTGCATTTTAATACAGAAATCCGATGTTACGTGTCTCCGCTTAAAGTTTACATACTGAGGCATCCAACACAATGAGAGTGCTTGGTTTAAACTTTGACAACAGGGCAAGTGCAAATGTCTTCTTCTCACTTATAAAGAATAACGCCATTATTTATTTTTATCTCATTGTCAATCAATTTTTATATCCATCTATCCATTTTCTATACACCGCTTAATCCTCACTAGGGTCATGGGGGGCTGGAGTCTATCCCAGCTGACTTAGGGTGAAGGCAGGGGACACCCTGGACAGGTCACCAGTCTATCACAGGGCTACACTTAGAGACAGACAACCAAGCACACTCACATTCACACCTACGGACAATTTACAATCACCAATTAACCGCAACATGTTTTTTGGACTGTGTGGGAGGAAGCTGGAGAACCCGGAGAGAACCCACGCAGCACAGAGAACATGCAAACTCCACACAGAAAGATTCTGGTGCCCCCACCGGGACGCGAACCGGCTCAATTTTTATATATATAAAAAAATCAACAGCGTGTTAGTGTGTGTCTCATTACTCTTCATCCTTTCTAGCCTTTCTGCAGCTCTCAGCACCAATCTCATGTTTTTCTGCCTGAAGAAGTAAATCTTTCAAACAAGTACTTCAAGGATTCATCCTACTGGTTTCCTTAAACAGCAGTCTTCCACTATCTCCACTTAAACAAGAACCAAGAGTGAATTTGTAGGGGACTATTTTCAGCAGCGGATTAATACACACTTGCGGCTCTAGTTTGTGTTTGTGCAGAATTCTGTATGTAAGTGTATGTATTCTGTACAATTTAAACAAGTCACCCACTGTGATGGCTATCTGTTGTGTGTTTTTAGTAGTTTTGGGGTGACAATGGACCTTCATGGCAGAGAGTAATATGGTGTCAGACTACAGAAGGAATGCTTTTTGGATCAGTTTAGTTGGAGTACTTTCACGAGATTTGATGACAATGAGAAAAATATAGAACACGCAGCTGGTGAAAGACAGTGAAAGAGGGCTTGGTCTCAGGATCTTGATCACACTCTTTTTTGACATATATAAACACTTAAAACTTGTCCTGGGTATTTGACAGTGATCAGTCTATAAGGGTTTGTCTATTTATATCCAATGATGAAGTCATTTTGCCTTAATCCTCAAAGTGTTCTCCCTTTGTACAGATGACAAATGTGTTTTTGGTTTAAATTTCCAGTCAGACGAATACAAAAGGCTGATGAAGACGCTAAAGACTCAAAATCGCTCCTGGACACAAATAAGTCTTTTGAAGTTCGTCATTAATGTCATTAATCAGACA